GATTGTTGACGAGGTAAAGTGGACCGTGTCGTGCGCAAGTCTTTTTGTGTAATGAACGTTACTTTCGGTAAAAAGGGGGCATACAGCCAGACAAACATTAAAGGCAGGCCAATCTTGGCCGTAAGGTACTTCAATTTTGAGGAGGCGTGCGGCCAATTTTGAAAGGCACGACGGCCATTGGCCGCGGTGCCGCGGCTTATGTCTAGCCCTGTGTGCTACACGCTGCCCCCAATTGTGAGTAACTTAAAAATGAGAGTTTAACAGGTTAACTATCTTTTCTTGGCGCAGATACTGCCACTGAACTGAAGGTGTCTAATTCAAGACTGACTGACCTGGAGGTTGCATACGCTACTCAGAAGTCTGAGGTAAGTCTTGTTGCATTTCCATCAGTATTTATCTTACTATTGATTTTATCACCAAGATTTCTAAATGCCGAAATAACGTACCATATACCGTGGTATTATATCTGGACGGTATGAGGGTCCAAGCCAACCTCCAGGGGATGAACCTTTACCCTGACTTTATCCTGTAAAATCATAGCTTCCATGTTGTAGTATTTTTTTTTTTTAGTATTTATCCCCTCAGATTTAAAAAAAAAAATTTAAATAAATTATAGTGGACACATGGACAATGTTCCACTGATTTCTACAAGTCTGTGTCTTCATCCTCAGTATGAACGACTGAAAAAGATCCATGCAGAGCTGGAAGAGAAGCATGAGGCATCAGAGATCCAGATCAAACAGCAGTCCATGGAGTATAGAAACCTTTTGCAGCAAAAAGAGGTATAGAGTTGCAGACCACCAGTGGATAAATGCATGAAGGCCCCCATGATCCTGTCCTATGATGATTACCGAAGGTCCTGTTACTGACATTATCCTGGATCAGTAGCATAAATTATGTAAAATATTATTCAGATTATATCTGCCAGAAACCAAAGACTGTTAAAGGCAAGAGTTTGTTTTATTATGGATTCGTAATATCTTTGTCCATCTTTCATAAACACATATTCAAGAGAGGTTCCTGGTAAGCCTGGAACCTATCCCAGGGAGCACAGGACCTGAGGCAGGGGACACCCTGGGCAGGACATACACACACACCCCCACACATTGTCACACACTGAGGGGGTTTTAGAGACTCAGTTTGGCCTAGACTGCGCTGGAGCTGCGATGCTACAACGCTAACCTTGAATCAATGTATTATCCACCTCAATAAGACTGTGGTAAAAATGCATAGCATAGGTTTAGCGATAAAGGCTTCATTTAATTTTTTTTAAGTCTTGTTTGTAGTAATGTCAAATTGGCCAAAAAAATTAAATCCCAAAATATGCTATTAATAAAATACTACACTAACAAAAACAAAAACCTTTCTGTAGGTCGAGATCAATCACTTGAAAGCACGTCAGAGTGGATTACAAGAGGAGATGCAGAAGCTGCGACAGTCTGCTAAATCATCTTTCGAACCTGCCGTACTGCCCGTGAGCACTGCTTCCTCCTTCCTGCCTGACGCTGCAGGACCCCATCGAGCTTTTCAGGGAGATGAGATGGATATCGGTGACGTCATCTGGTCACAGCAGGAGATCAACCGGTTGTCCAGTGAAGTGTCTCGGCTAAAGGCTGAAGTGTCTCATTGGAAAGAACTGGTACAGGTAATTTTTCACTTCAAACAATGTTTGATTCATACAGAGTATTTTTTTAAATCAACACAGTACAGTGAAAATATTAAGCCCTTGTATGATTTTCTGGGTTTTACATGTTTTCACACTGCATCTGTGCAGTCCTTTTTGTGGATATGAGTGCTAAATTTTTCAGTGTATTTCCTTGATATTCAAGACAAAATGCTAATGTTGTTGTCCCTCCATTTATTTCAAGTGCAGTAAATGGACAAATAGAATAAATGCTATGCTAAGCATTAGGGCTGCTGCGATTAGTCTATGTATTTGATGATTTATTTTTTGTATCATTTGTTTGATTTCAGATTGCAATCCATACAACTTGTTTTCATTTTCTGAATCTCTTTAAGGGCAATTCAAATGATGCAGAAAATTAATCGACAAAAATTATTTGGTAGGCTTGTGAACAAATTAATCGAATTTCAATGCTTTCTTATGGGAAAAATTGCCTTGGTTCACGTGCAAATTGGTCCACGACCACTTTCCTGGAACGGATTGTGTTCGTGAACCACAGGCACTACTGTACTAGTATGCAAATAAACATTTATAAGCTTTAAACTCCGCCCACCTGTATCGAGACGTAGTGTGAAATATAGTTGATGTCATAATACTTTAGGTTGCGGATGTTGCCCGCATTGCAATGCTTCAGAGGTACGAAATGATGACTCTGCAACGAGTGTGGATTGTGTATACCTGGGACATAGAGTTTCTGTTGATGTCTGGTCTTGCTTGAGATTTCTAAATTATGTAACAGATTAAATAAAGCAACGTTACCGTTGACCACAGCTGTGTCTCTACTGCAATTATTTTTGACTGACAAAACGACCATGTAAACTTTGGCATTAAGGTAACAGAGAGGTACTGTAGGCCGAAACCTCAGTAGGGATTTAAAAACATTTATACTTAATCAGTTGTTTTACGTCCTTATTATGTACTGCGAACTTCATGAACTGTCTCATGAAATTCACCTATATAACACTCCTTCATTATACTGTGTCAGTTCTTTTGTTGTTCTCTATACTTGGTCAGAAGTATGGTTTGGATAAAGAACCACTGGCCCTGATGTGGTTTCCGAAATGGAACAAGGTTAAAGTGAAAATATTTCCCATGGTCCTGTATATAAAAGCAAGAATGCTTCTCGTAATGGAGTAGATGTTAGGCATGAGACTTTTTTTTTTATATACTTTCGAGAAATTATGTCCAAATGTTTGATTTTTTGTTTTCATTCATTCATTCATTCATTCATTCATTCATTCGTCTCCTCCAGGCCTCTAAACCTCCTGGAACATCCAGCTCCAACATTGACCAGGGAGACATAGTAAAACTTCAGAAAACCATCAAGGTGAGGTTGATCACTTTGTTAACGTTATATGGTAGCTAGCATACCCTTTTGCTGATTTATTTTTTTTATAAATATTTAAATAAATTGAAAAGCTGTCAGGTAGGTGGTCACTTAGTTCTATGCTCTTTGTCCTGCTTTGTCCATTGTGCTCAGTGAAATTCAGATTCTCTGCTGAAGCTTAGCAGAAGACACCATTTTGTCTATATTTTGTATCTTGTAAAACGAGTTCTGTTTGTTTTCCTTATTTGGAGTAACATTTGTAACATTGACTTGTGTCGTTCTATGCTGCTGGCTAAATAACTAAGGATTTTGTAATTGTCAGAGGAGTCAAGCTGTCTTTTAGCAGTCTAAGTCAAGTAAACCTATGTGTTTTTTATTATATGGATTTCAAGCAGATACAAAGTAGAGCCAGGCAGGATTTTGTACTTTAACTCTGGTGGTAATCAACACAAATATTAATTTAAACCATGTTATGGTCTGCTTTCCATGCACTTTATGAGGGTCTTTATATAGATGACTGTAATCTTACCTTGGAACTGTTTGTCATGCGAGACCCTTCTTGGAGGACTAGGCTGGACGTGAGAGTCACTAAATTGCTTTTGAAGCATTGATGCTAGTGAATGTCTTGTGCATGCTGAGGCATTGTTGTGGTTGGTTGGTTTTCTTTTGGAACATTTTTTAGAAATACAGTTAAATGGAGTCTCCTATTGCAGTTCGTAGTTTTATTGATGATAGTCCAGCTTTCAGTGAGTGACCAGTAACAAGTGCAAGATGTTTGTGGGAACAAGAGGTATTTGAACACTACTTATAACCAGAGGTGTCAAAAGTAGACGCATTCTTCACTCAAGTACAAGAGATGCATGTTTTTACAAATATTCTCATAAAAGTTGAAGTATTGATTTCACTTTTTTATTCAGGTTAAAGTGAAACGTACAGGCTCTAAATTATAAAGCACCCTTGCAAAGGACAAAACCACCATTTTAGGGCAAAGCTGACTGGACTCCATGTAGAATGCAAGCAGAGAAAAATAAAGCCAGATAAATACTTAAAGCTCCATTGGCCATTACCATCATTATACACGACGATTGCCTTATTCCTAATCACATCATGCAAAAAAATATTATAGTACTGTAAAAGATTGAGGGATTACAAATTCAATGTGTAAAATTGTTTTTGTACATTTCTTTCTGCTTTTCCTTGAGCAGGAGTTACGAGAGACTATGGGACGTGAAATGGATGAACACCAACATGAACTGGCTGCAATGCAAGATGCCCATCGTCAGAAGATGGCCGAGATCACCCGCCGTCACCGGGAAGAGCTGGCTGAGTATGAAGAGCGGATTGAGGAGCTTGAGCAAATCCAAAGTGGTCAGTATCTTCTTATGCAAACAAAAATGTTTTACATATTATAATTTTGATTTCAAAACCGGGTGTGAAATATGTTGCATGTTGCTCATTATGCTTGAACGTTGACTGATTTTATGATTTATTTTATGAAAGTGTTCCAGATAGTGACTTCTGTGGAATTTCCCTTTTTTCCCTTCCCAGTTAATTGAATTTTAATTTCAATTACGATTTTGGCGTCCAATGATATTCCAAACAAAAATAAACGAGATGAAATGCATCACAATAATCATTTTGTTCCATGACCATTGTCCTGTTTTGTCTTGTGTTATAAATCCAGCTCACCCCTTTCCAGCCCCTTTTTATTTGTTTCTCAGTTGAATTATATATGGAGAGTTCAAGGAAAAACACTAAAAAAGTAAACCAAAGCAAAGTTAACGTGATTATGATTTTTATGATAATCAAGCCGCCCTGTTTTCCCATTCAAATCATTACAGGTGCTCCAGGCTCATCACAAGAATCATCCAAAGTTGCAGAACTGCAGACCAAGATTGCTATCCTGCAGGATGGAGCAGCACATCAGGGCAAGAAGTTACAGGAGCTGAGTGACAGCTTGGTAGAAGCGAGAGGAATGCAGACCTTGCTACAGCGAGAGAAGGACGAGGCTCAGGCAGAGAATGGCCAACTGATGCAAAATTATGCGCGGCTACAGAGCTCAGTAGAGGAGCTCCAGACACGAGTGCAAGAACAGGAGGGGAAAACCCTGCACAAAGCACAGCTGGAAAATGAGATTCAGATGTTGAAAAAGGCTCTTGCAGGTAACATGAAAGCTGCCTTAATTGATTCGTTTTTTTTTTAAGGAAAGGCAAAGTTGATATACTTGTTTTTTTTATCTAAATTTGAATGATCTTAGACATCTTGAAATTCTTAAACTACTAATATTAAGGCACCATGACTGTAGTTGACATAATTGTTCTAACAAACCATCTCTAGGAGCAGAAAAGGAGATCTCAAGGTTAAAGTGTCTTAATGAGGTGTGTTGATTCTTTGCATTAATAATTTAATCAATTAGTCTCTTATCATTTAAAATAATTTATTAATATAGCTTTTTTTTTTTTTTAACTACACAGAATGAACCCGAAGTGGAACATGCTGATATCTTAGAGCTCAACACAATAATTGAAACGTTGACGAGAGAAAAAGCTGAGGTTGAAAAAGAAAGGGTTAGTTTTTCTCATATTGTTTTTGTGTTCGTGAAAGCTCATATATTCATATTTATAGATATAGCGTGTGTAGTTGAAAACAAAATAATACTATTGAAGTGTCTTTAAAATCAAAATAACTAGGAACCAGATGCATTGGTGGAAGGATTCCCATTGATTTTAGGGAAAAAATGTGTGTGTGTGTATATATATATATATATATATATATATATATATATATATATATATATATATACACACACACACTACATTTTTTGAAGGACATATAAGTTCTATGTATTACCTGTTTAGCACAATCTGACCTTCCATAATGACACAAAGAGTATATTTGCACTGTGAATATTACTTAATAATTCATTGAGCTACTATTAATTCTTTACAATCTTCAGATGGATCTATTGCAGAAATTGAAGAATATGGAAGAAATTACAGAGAGAGGCAGGGACCAAATCCCTGACGTTTCTCCGGGTATGGTAGCTGAGTTGAGGTCAGAGCTAGAGGAAAGCCAACGAGCCCTTAAGGCAGCCCTCTTGGACCGTGACACAATCAGTGCTGAGGTGGAGGAATTGGACCATCAGAATCAAGAGGCTACACAGGTCTGTCTATCTTATTTGATACATTATATTTTATGCATTTATAATTTTATGAACCATCATAGCATTGGTTTTGTTCCTTATTGCCCCATTTTCCTTCCTCCCCAGCATTTGATCTCCCTAAAAAATCAGCTATCTGAACTGCATAAGGAAGCAGATGCTTCAGTAAGTCGTCTGCAGTTGGAGCTGGAAACCATGCGAGAGCGGGAGCAGATGTTGCAGAAGGAGCTATATAATCAGAAGGAGAAACTTAGCCAGAGTGCCTTTGCCCTTAATGACATGCACATGAGAAGACAGCAACTGGAAGGGACAGTGAAGGAGCTACAGGAAAAACTGGGACAGGCACAGCAGCGCAGTGTCGATACACACAGTGAACTCTCTGTGCTGAAGAAACAGCTCCAAGTGAGGGAGCAAGAACTGTCCACTGTCAAACTGGAGCTGGCCCAGACTGGGAATACAGCCAGTGAGGTTGAGGGTCACAAAGAGGAGCTAGATGCCGCGCAAAAGGAAGTGGATGACCTTAAGAGAGAACTACAAGAAGTGAGGAGATCGCATGAGGCGGCGCTGTCTAAGGACTATGAGATTAGAATGGAGAATCAGAAGCTAAAGGCAGAGGCTAAGGAAGTCGCCATGAGATTAGAGGACTTGAGCAAGGAGATCCAGGATGGGAAAACAACATTAAACAGGGTTGTTCTGGAAAAGGACACTTGCATAAATGCACTGAAGCTTGAGAAGGATGAATTGGAGAGTGAACTGAGTCAAGTAGAGAAAAAAATAGTGGAACAGGCCCATCATTATCAGCGGACCATTGAGGAGTTGACAAGTGCCCAGTCGATGGATGCCTCTGCCCTGCAGACAGAACATGAGCGTGCAGTGAAACTAAACCGCGAGAAAGATTTTGAGATTGCAGAGCTGAAGAGAAAGATCGAGCAGATGTCAGCTGACCATCGAGAGACCAACGAAATGTTGTCCACGACTGTGTCAGGACAGAAACAACTAACAGAATTGTTGAAAGAAAAGGATATATTTGTGGAGACACTAAAGGCAAAGGTTACACAGGTCCAGATGGAGCTGGACCGGAACCTCCAAACAGCTAAAGGAGGGGATGCTCTGAGACGCATGCTAGAAGAAAAGGAAAAACATTTGGGGGTGATGAAGGAGGAGAACAGTCACCTAAAGGAAGAGATAGACCGACTACGAGACCAGCAGAGCAGGCCGCATGCCTTGGCTGAACCCAAGACTCTTGACATAATCACTGAACTAGAGACAGAGATTACTCAGCTGAAGGTGACAAGAGATGGTTTGGAAGTGGAATTGTCAAGCCTGAGGAAAACAGCGGAAGAGCAACGAGTGAGCCTTCTGCATTCCCAGCAGTCTCTTCAAGCACAACAGAATGAACTGGAACAGGCGCGGTTGCGCCACGAGCAGAGTTTGCTCAATTATGAGAAACTGATTCAAGCCAAAGATGAAGAAATTACCCGAATGCAGGAGGTTGTTGACCAGATAAGTGCACAAAGGGTAAATGTGGAGACTCCATCCTCACAGGATCTACCACCAGCCATGGTAATTCTGCAAGAAGATAAGACCCAGTCCCTAAATGGTGAGAATGGCAATGAAAAACAAGACCTGTCCAAGGTTGAAATTGAGAAGTTGGTAAGGGGCATTAAAGAGAAGGAGACGGAGATCAGTCTTCTGAATGAGAAGAATCTGTCTTTAGCTAAGCAGCTAGACCAGTTGGTAGTCTCTCAGGATGAGGTTGGCAAACTCTCTCAGATGGTATTACAGAAAGATTTGGAGATCCAAGCCCTACATGCAAGGGTGTCAGCAGTTGGCTATAGCCAGGACATGTTGTTACTTCAGCAGCAGCTACAAGCATATGCTGTGGAGCGTGAGCAGGTATTAGCTGTGCTTAATGAGAAGACTCGTGAGAACAGTCAACTGCGTTCTGAATATCACCGCCTTATGGACATCGTGGCGGGCAAAGAAGCTATGCTGCTTAAACTTCAACAGGAGAATCAGCGTTTATCCATTGCAAGTGACCCAACAGGGAGCCAGGAGATGTTTCGTGAGACCATTCAGAATCTTTCTCGCATAATCCGGGAGAAGGACATCGAAATTGATGCTCTGACCCAGAAATGCCAGACTCTGGTGACTGTTTTGCAGACATCAGGTGGAGATTCTAGTGGTGGTGCTGGGGGAGGAGTAAGTAGTAATCAGTTTGAGGAACTTCTGCAGGAGAGAGACACTCTAAAGCAGCAAGTGAAGAAGATGGAAGAGTGGAAGCAGCAGGTGATTACCACTGTGAAGAACATGCAGCATGAGTCGGCACAACTGCAAGAGGAGCTCATCAAACTGCAGGGTCAGATTTCTGCTGATAGTGACTGTAGTTCTAAGCTGTCTGTTGACTATGCTCGACTGATCCAAAGCTATGAAATGAAGGAGAGAAAGCTAGGTAGCCTGAGCCAAGAACTTGCACAGGTTCAGCAGACCATTAGCCAGCTAAGCAGCACCAAGGATGTCTTGCTTGGGAAACTGGACTCTGTAGTTCCTGAGTCTTTGTCTTTAGTAGATGAACCTGTAACTACAGTTGAAGTAGTACCTCCCAGCCACCTGAGTTCAGAACATGAGAGGCGGCTAAACCATCTGAAGCAGGACTTAGACCATCTGCAAAGACTGCTTGCAGAAAAGGATGCAACAATACGAACCCTGCAGGAAAATAATCAGAGTTTGTCTTTGGCTTCAACATATGAGCAGAAGGTTCAAGTCAATGAGATGCACCAGCTTCGTGATAAGCTGGAGTCCCTGCAGAAATCGCTGAAGGAAAAGGACCTACTGATCAAAGCTAAGGGAGACCAGCTGAGTCAAGTGAGTGACACCCTCAGAAACCGCGAGAATGACAATGAGGTGCTGAAACAGGCAGTGACCAACTTGAAGGAACGTACACTTATCCTGGAGTTGGACATGCGCAAGCTGAAAGAAGAGAACGAACAGATAGCAGCACGTTCACGTGAGAAAGAGACCGAGTTTCGTGCTCTGCAGGAGACCAACATGCAGGTCTCCCTGCTGCTGAAGGAGAAAGAGTTTGAATCGAGTACAATGAGAGAGAAGGCTGCAGCTATGGAGAAGATGCTGAAGGAAGGAGAGCAGGTTGGTTTGGGGAGTTGTATGCACTACATTTCGATGTATCTGTGGTACACAAGGGTGGTCTCTTAATTTAACTAGTTTATCTAAAGCCAGAACTATCTTGATATTCTAAAATTAAGCTGCCTCTTGAATGTTTCATCAGATAAAAATAACATATTTACAAAACATAGTCTATGACTGGAAGTATATTTAGAGATTTAAGATAAATCAAACATAAAGCAGCTTTTTGTATAAGTTTCCAGCTCTTATAATGACATTCCTTTAAAATGCACAGTCACAATAGCAATCTATAATATTAACATTTACTAAGAAATCTTAGTTTGCCCTATTGTGTCGTGACTTTCTCCATCAGTTTTGATATATCGCAGGGTCAGCGTAAGAAATTAATTGGGGATTTTTTGTGGATTTTTGCAAAAGCCGCAGTCACGCGAAGGCCGGAAGATGACACAGAATGGTTTAGTAACTCATAAACGCATAAAAATATTCATACAGTGCTGGTTTGGGGAACGCCAAACGTGCTCAATTTGCTCGCCAAGGGGACCAAAATTTCATGCAATTTATCTGTATCGTGGGGGTCTGTGTCCCAACTACTGCAATCTGGATGAGTCTGTAACTGTACTTACAGTCGGGAGAATTCTACCATATCTGTATTTACTTTTATTAGTATTAAATTTCATGTGTTGGAGAGTTTGTAATTTGACAGGCCAGCTGTAGTGTTAATTGCTTTGTCTTGATTAACATGTTCTGTGTCGCCACCTTACTGATTTTCACATGCGTTTCAGGGCAAGTCAGGAGAGTTGAATCAGTTGCTCAATGAGGTGAAATCAATGCAGGAGAAGGCTGTAGCCTTCCAGCAGGAGAGAGACCGGGTAATTCTGGCACTCAAACAGAAGCAAATGGAAACATCTGCCCTACAAAATGAGGTAAGAGACATCTAAGGATTAGTTAACTCATTTGATTTTGCATTTTACATTTATTCCCTTTTCTTTTCCTGACACACACACACACACACACAACTATTTAATGTCCTTTTTTTCATATGATGTTATTTTAATTCACGTCCTTGGAACGCTTATTTAATCCTTGTATGCAGAACATAATCAAGCCGCAGACATGGTATAATAATCAAGGTCTCTGGAATCCTGTGGTATAGTAAGATGCTTTTGTGCTCCCTCTCTGGTACTATGTACCCGTACATAAGATTACACCACTAGCCCAGGTATTGTCTGTTTTGCCAGCTGCAACACATGCGAGACAAGGAGCAGCGTCTGAAGTTGGAACTAGAGCGACTGCGGAGCCACCTGTTGGAGATCGAGGACTCTTACACACGGGAGGCCGTAGCTGCTGAGTACCGGGAGTCAGAGCTGCGCAGGAAGGTGGCCCAGCTGGATGAGCGGCTGATGACCTCCTCGAATGCTGTTGAGAGTGCCAGGTGAAGGACGCCTTTTCAGCCGATAGTCTGGTCAATGCTTCTGCTAGCCTCAAAACAAAGTAATGCATCGAAACGCAAATCCCCGTGAGTTTGCTGTCCAATTTGACGCTGGTTCATCCCCATGGCAGCCAGCAAGCTAGTCTGCAGGTGGAGTCCCTTCAGGAGCAGCTGACTGAAGCTATGAGGCAAAGGGATGAGGCTCTGGCTCAGCTGCACATATCCCAAGAGCAGCTCAACCAATATGCAGTGTCACTCTCTAACCTGCAGATGGTGCTAGAGCAGTTCCAGCAAGGCAAGTTGCCGTCATCCATCCAAGCATTCTCTGTAACTCCCTCTCCGGTATGGTCTTTTTGTGGTCTTGGAGCCTGTTGCATACAACATAGAGAATGAGGCGGGGGACACCGTCACAATGCAGGCACACAGATTTTTAAACCACAACTGTACTTCCCATCTTTTACATTATTTGCATATTATTACAAATTTCTATGTCCTAATTTACACTTTGCATTTACTCCCTCTCTAACTGTAGAGGAGAAAGCCTTGTATTCAGCTGAGCTGGAGAAGCACAAGAAGGAGAAGGCTGAGCTGAGGAGGAAAGTGGAGATGTTAGAGGACCAAGCTGCAGCACTGCAGGTTTTTTATTTAATTATACTAATAGCTATAGAATCTACATTGTGTAAAAATGGAAAATAATCTGTAAGTAAATGAAAAAAATGTGGGCCAATACAATTCCCTGACCTGAGTCTTCTGCTTCCTTTGTGGTCTGAGATTTAGAAAGCAGTTTAAAAAATCAAGATGGCAGGAATATCTAAAGGAATTTCTGGGGAGATAGAGAGAGTAAAAACCAGTAAAAAACATTAATTATAAATTACTGCTAAGATATAAATATTTCATGACTGTTTTTAAAGTGTAATGGTTTCCATAATTTCTGATTTGTTGTAATGCTGAATTTATTTATGAGCGTAAATACTCCGCTTATCAAGATTCACATGCCTCATATCTTTCTTTTCAAGGTGAATCTGGATGAGGCCACTTCAGCTCTGGACTCAGCCACACGGCTGACTGATCAGCTGGATCACAAGGAGGAACAGATTGAGGAGCTCAGAAAACAAGGTTAGGCAAGAGTAGCATGTGAGCGCAAAGTTTCATCTGAAACGTGTTACAAATCATTTGTATCAATGAGAAAGTGTTTTTCAGTATATCGGGTTATATAAGTCGTGTTATTTTTAGATGTTCTGTTTGTATATCTGAAATGTTTGTGTAAGTCAGGATTTGAGGCATTTTGGCCAGATACAAACTGCCACACAAAATTCCTTCTGTTTTAGCAAAATTTATTATATGGAAACTAGTTAGACGAGCCAGTTTTCTTTGGCCAAGCAAGTGATTTGGGTCTTTCAAGAGTTCTAAATGGAAACCTTATTAACAATATGTAAAGCATTTATTTTGGAGCGACTGACAATGCGGATCTGTGAAAATATGCTTTTAACTTTATTAATTTTGTAGAAATGTATTTTGCATTTGCTTTTCGATGCGTCCCTTCTACTGCTTTTATAGTAGTATTGTTTCTTAAGCCGTTTTCATTGGGTGCTCTTCATAATGAATGGCAGCCAATCTGCAGAGTGCATATTTATATGCATGATGTATATTTAAAAATAGCATAACACTGCATATGTCAGAAGAAATTTCTTGGTAGTTTGGCTTTTTATATTTTTGTACATTCTATGTTTTTTCCCCCAGGTTTTTTTCCGATGTTGATGTTAATATATATTCTGTAAATGGTTTTGTTGTGTTTGTCCCCAGTGACTGTGTTTGACTTTTGCTTTTTCTGACTGCAAAATCTGTTTAAACCCCATTTGTGCTGGTCCTCCTCGGGCTAAATGTTTGGTTCTACCATATCAAACCGCTGGTTTAAAAAGATTAGAAAGTGTCTGATCTAAGCTTACTTAAAACTTATCTTGTAGTGGAACTAGATAAATAAAATGTGCTCTGTTCCCATTAACCTTTTTTGGGTGTATGGTCCTTGGTTTGCACCATATTCCCAGACATCTATTGCTCTTTCTTATATGGTTAAAAATTCCCAGACTTGCCCCTTTTTAAAAAGCACACAATTCCAGACCATGTTGGAATTTTTGTTTAAATAAGATTTGGTTAAATGGGACCTTGCAGAGAGACTGTTTAGGTCTGCACCATCATATCAGTGAGAGTAGTTGTCTTTGGCTTGCTAGCCCTGTAGACATGTCAGCCTTCTTTAGAAACGGTATTAATTGTTTAAGTGTGGAACCCTGTTGCATGTATTTGTGAATAATCATGAGAAACCTTACTCTTACATATTTAGTGACGGTGAGGCAGGAAATGCTGGAAGAATCCCAGAACAAACTGATGAACCTTCTGAACAGTACTGAAGGCAAAGTGGACAAGTAAGGTCAATTCTTAATGTGGCTATTAAAACAAATATGCAGCTTTCACACTACAACTGAAGCAATATTAAAGAAAGCCAGTGTTCCATTTTATGTTGCTTTTGTGTTCAGAAATCAACCCAAGCTGATTATACACATAATTATACATATAATTAAGTCTGTTTACCCTTTTGTTCTTAGGCTTCTTATGAGGAATCTGTTTGTGGGGTACTTCCACACCCCCAGGAATAAGCGGTCAGAGGTATTAAGACTCATGGGCAACGTGCTGGAACTGGATCGAGACGATGTTGATCAGGTATGCTGCTGTTAGTTCTCCTTTAACGGATTTAATTTTATTTTCCTGTTGTACCTTTCCTGACTTCTACAAGACACTCACTCACTTTTTTCTCCTCTGCCTCTATGGTTTGCTCAAAGTTTAAGAGTTTAATTTTTAAAACTTATTGGATATGAAGCAATTATAATGATTTAAAAATGAACATAATTATTGTTTTTAATATATTGTTACTGTACAGTCACGCACCGCATAACAATGTTTCGGTCAACAACGGACCGCATATATGATTGGTCCCATAAGATTACACTATGATGAAGCTGAGGAATTCCCATTGCCTAGTGACATCATAGTGCGCTGCATTGCTCATGTGTTTGTGGTGAGGCTGGTGTAAACAAACCTACTACACAACAACTCCTATAAAAGAATAGCACCTTCAGTTATGTAGAGTATATAATACTCGATAATAAGCAACTATGTTTCTGGTTTATGTATTTCCTGTACTGTACTTTTATTGTTATTTAAGCTATACTAGGGGCAGCGTGTGGCTCAGTGGGCTAAGCCTGTGTGCCGGTTCAAACCCAGCTTCAGCAGGTCTGCAGGTCCTTGAGCAAGGCCCTTAACCCCCAGCTCCCTGGGCGCTGCCATGGGTGGCTGCCCTTCGCGGACAACTTACTCTACAAAGAGCAAGTTCAGGGAGGCATGAAAAAGACAATTTCCCCACGGGGATTAATAAAAAGTGATGATTATTATTACTATACTATATTGTCTAGGTGTTGTAGGCTATACCATCTAGCTTTGTGTAAGTATACTCTGTGATGTTCTCACAACAATGAACTTGCCTAGCGTCACCTTTCTCAGATCATATCCCTGTTATTAAGCGACACATGACCGTATATTATGCAGTTATGTAATGCATTAAAGATGGTTTTCCTGTTTAGTCTTTGAAAATGACTGCATACTGCAGCGTATCTGACAAAAGTCACATTAGGGGCCTCAGTAGTGAATTCACTAGTGTTTAACTGAAGAGAAAATGCTACCTTCACAGTATTTATTTAAGGAGTGCCTTAAGTATTTTGGTTTTCTTGGATTTCTAAAACACCATTGCTTAATGGATTTACTTTGGATGATGTAATTTATTTTAGACAAGCCTGCTAATTTTCACTGTATTTTCTCACCCCTGTGTGCAGATGTTTAAAAGCAGTATATTAATCTTCGGCAGAGCGGAAAATGTACAGATCTGTTTGAGTAATGTTTTTTTAAGACCCCAAATACATTATACTGCATTCTTGCAGTTGAGTCAAATAATACTTGTTACTTATATTATCTAAAACAAGAATACAGTCGGCTCGCCATATCTGCAGGTTCCACATGCAGATTGAAATTATTAGTGGAAAAAAATCCTGAAAGTTACAAAAAGCAAAACTTGAATAGGCCACGTGCTGAGCACTATGCTGAACGCACGCCAAAGAAGTGATGTGTAGGCATACCTTGCTGTAGCCTGCATCTGTGCTGAACATCTGCAGTGTTCAGGGAATAATGACAAGAAAAAATAAATAATACAGTATAACAGATATTTACATAGCATTCGCATGACATTAGGTATTATAAGTAATTTAGCGATGATTTTAAGCATATTGGAGGATGGGTGTAGGTCATACAAGTGCTTCGCCATTTTATATGAGATTTAAGCATCTGTTGATTTTGGTATTTGGGGGGGGGGGGTTGGTTCTGGAACCAATCCGCCATGGATACTGAGCAACAACTGTATGATAATGATGAACTCATCAATAGATAGAAACTGAAGTAGGGCAGGAAGGATTTTTCATTTTTTCTTTTAGATTTGTAACGTCTTGCTCAGTAATGCTTTCAAAATGGCAATTCCACATGAGTCAGTCAAATGTCCTAATGTGATCTCCCAGGACTCTGTCCAAAGTTCTAACCACATGGTGGCCTACACTTTATTTTTAAAGTAATCATTGCGGTTGCCGGTGTTGAATTCAAAGACAGAGCAGTTTTCCAAAACACTCAGTGATATGAGTAGAAATGTAACGTAACATATAACAAAGTAATTATGACCGAGTTGATAAAACATGCAGTGTTTGCAGATTATGCTCCTGAACCGGCCAAAAACATACGTAGACAATGGCATATGCAGACAATTTTTTTTAATGGAGTGGGCAGACTACAAACATTCAGAATCCAGCTCCCCACAAAGTATTTCCTTATCCAGTACTGTTGGCAGGATCCGAAGGAACCCAGTCCAACTATTCTGAATTGCCCAACAGCTGTGCAGAGTTTCTGGTGGCATCCATATATAGTTAGTGTAAAATTAAAAGCAGGTTTTAGAATGGGGGCAAATGCGATTACAAGTCCTCCAAAGACTGATTTTTAGACTTCGGGAGATTGTACTTTACACTCTGTACTTACTCTCCACTGCTAGTCAAATTTTCCACTCAAGACGTCTGTGTTTAAAGCTATGTAATGTTTCATGTTTCTTAAATTGTATATGTGATGGTTGCTTCACTGTAATAACCTTCAGAAAATAATACAGTTGGAAGCTCAGATCTCTCTAGACTGTGTAATGTATGCTATGTGTAATCATGATTTAACTTGCATTTGTTTTATATTTAATGTTGCAGAATGGAGACAGTTTTTCCTCTAGAGAATGAAGCCCGCTTACTGTATTGCTTGTCAAGACTGCTATTATGTTAGGGCTGAGAAACTTCTTTAAAAAAGACATTTACATTTTATAATGTAACAGATTTTTAATTAAGAGATTTGAATATTAATTATACATTTATACCACAAACCCAGCCCATCATTGCGCAGTACCCATTGTATGCAACCAACCTTGAAAAGTGAAACATGCAATATTAACCTACTACTGTCTTAAGTGAATAAAACGACAAGGAGATCATAATGTATAACACATTTTTATTTATTTAGCTACCCACGGGAACACCAGCAAGCAACAACAAAAAAGTTGTAGTGTGGAATTTAAATATCACACGGGTGACATTAGCCAGCTGACACAGGCTTAAGTGCATAAAATAGCTTAAATGAAAATAATTGCCGGTGTAATTCAAAGAGTTTCCAGACTTTTCAGGTTTTTGGGAATTACTGTATTGCCGCGTTCTTCTGCCGATTCGCACATTATTTCACTAGTTTCCATGTTGGCTAGTTTCAGCCATTCTGACTTGCTGAATTAATAGCTACAGTTGTGATCAGTTCCTCCAAAACTCAATAGAAACTGAATGTAAACAACCTTGCTTACACAAGAACACTTCTGATCTGAAAGGTTTATAAAGGAAGTATCATGTTGCTTAGTGTCCTTTCTGCACAAGTTGACCCAATAATGTGATGTTATTTACTTAAACTGTGGTAGTCGAGGAAGTAGTGATTTTTCTGGTCTTCCCCCACACCGTATACAGTGGTCTTGTAATTCATGATGATAATTTTATAAAGTCAAAGTTAACCAGATGTTTTGTCTTATAAACATCACTTCATTCTTCAGAAGACAGCAGAGGTCCCTTAAGACCTCTGCTCTATTCTCTGCCACTTCCTGTCATTTTCTAGAATTCCTGCCAACTTCTTTCGTCCTCTTTTGTTTTGCAGCTACTAGAAGAGGAGGGAAGACGAGGAGTAACGCGCTGGGTCTCTGGCTGGTTGGGTGGCAGATCAGCACAGAGCGTTCCCAACACCCCTCAAAGACCTGGCCACGCACAAGTTCTCAACACTGTGAGTGTATTCTCAGTAGAACATTCTAATTCATACACGAAAGTATGGATTTTGTCTATAGTTGTAAGCAATGGAATGTGGATAAAATACTTGTTTGATTGTAACGACCACTCACAATATTTAATGTTTTAGACTGTTTCAATGAAATTATGTGAATTAAACCTGATCTCAGTGAAAAGTGGCAGTTTTATGCGTTCATTCTTGCGGCTCGTGCAAGAGGACAAAAACATTCTAGCGAACAAGATGAAACTGACTTTAATTTCACACTAGCATTATTTGTAAATCACAGCCTGCTGTCACCCTGTGGGTGAGGTCTGCAACATAAAAATTATGACTATCGTAATATTAGGGCTGTAGGATATTGCATAATAATCACCAGGGCTTTAGATGACAGGCGTGAACATTTTCCTGTATCATATGGACATTTACTTACGCCTACATTTCATAAGCAGATCAGTTGTATGCCTAAAATATTAATGAGGCCTATCGTGACGCCCAAAAGTTAGTAACCTATAAATTTCAACGTATCTTTGTTTAATAAACGTGTCAGACTTTAAACTACAAAAAGTACCACCACTCCATCATCTTCTTTTTTTTTTTTTTTTTTACCTTGTTTATCCACAATTTCTCCTCTTTCACAAAATGTCGTGGCTGCTGATCTGTCCCTTTCTTCACCGCCACTTCAGTGCTCATCACTTGCATCACGTGCCCCGTTAACTGAATTTAATAAAGATAAGGATACATCACAATTTACACCTAAAATTTAGTTATCAAAAAATGAATACCTCCCCAAAATAGAAAGTCACTATAAGCTTTTTATGACAAACGCCTACATGTTTTTACCGTTAGATGAATTGTTAGTTAATATGGTGCTTTTTCATGTCCACTGTGTATGAGGGTTGCAAGGCACAGGGTCATTGTTCAAAGCAGCTATGCAGTGCTCGCCATTTGATCCGACTTTTGGTGAAATCTGGAATTCTGCAACTAGAACAGTAGAACTCTTTACAATGGCCAAAAATGCAAATTATTTCTCGGAATAGAAATTTTACAGAAGACACTAATACAAACAGTATATTGTTTTCAAAACAGAATATCAAAATTCATTCAATATTCATAGCTCCAGAGTTTCCCATTTTGACTTTGCTAAAAACCAGAGCTAAACAAATACATTGTACAGCCTTGTTTGCAGTAGCTGTTCATATGCTGTCCAGAACGTTTACTTAAAATATACACCATAAACCCTGAAAATGTGAGTATTTGCTGTAGTTATGTTATTTCTTACTTGCTTTAATTTTTTTTTTAACCTTTTTTGTCATTGCAGTCTTTCTCTGAGATGTTCCTGAAGTTCCTGGAAGTGGAATCCAGCCCTGCGCTTCCAGCTCCCAAATTGCCAGTCTATGACATCACACCACTGAGTGTGTCCCCTACTGCTAGCAGTGCCAGTGCAGCACTTTCTGCAAATAGTAAGCATCTACATTGTCATTTCATGCATCGATTTTAACATATCATAACATACTGCTATTGACATTAAACCGTGTTTAAAAAAACAAGTGTAGCTTTGTATACATGAAGAATCATGTATACATTTTGTGGACCTTATTGCCCTTATAAAACTGCATTAACAGAATACTATCCTTTAAGTTGCATCAGCACTGTTACATGCAGTAATACTACCACATAAATGTAGTATTAAAACTGTCATTTAATTTGATCATAATAATAATTGATACTTTTATCATTTGATCATATGTAACCCCTTGCCTTTAATTGTTTAGGTGGTTCTGGATCCAGCAAACGTGCAGGAGAGGGTAATTCTTTCCTTGCCCCCCGCTCAGCAGCTGTGCCGCTGCTGAAGCCGGGTGGTCCTGCTTTAGGGGGAGGGGGTCATCTGCTAATGAAGCCCATCTCAGATGCCCTGCCCACTTTCACACCTGTCCCAGTGTCGGCTGAGGCCAGTGCAGGGTCTGTCCTCAAAGACCTGCTTAAACAGTGAATGAACCCACTTGTGACTAAAAGCACTTTTTTCAGAAGTAAGAAGAGCTGAACACTACAGCCTGGCCAGATATGGCTGTGGAGGTCCTTGGGGCTAAGACCAAGTATCCAACAGCAAATCATGAAGACTAACTGTAAAATATCATGAGATTCATGCCATTATACAAGACATATTGTAATGAGACTTAGCCCAACATTCTTGGTCTTCTTGCTGGAAAGAGGTGGGCTTTTCTAGTCTCAAGTATTCTAGTGTCATCTAATGGTAGATCTCACTAAAAAGCACTTTGCACTTGTAGGTACTTGCATCTGCTTAACATATAAAAATGTAAGAATAGAATATAGTTTTCTACATTTTAGCAGGGTGCATACAACTTCCCCCTTGGGCATATATGTGTTCTTTTGGAGTCTGTCTGATCCAAAGGTCTATGTCTAAGGTCTATGTCTAACTCAAGGTATTGCAGGGTATTTTTCTGCAACCACACAGCCATGCAAAATTGAAATGACAGATCTGAAATGCATCTACAATGGAAGTGTGAAACGATCTGGATTAAGTCTTCATAATCATCAAGAGTTGTAACAGTATACAGTATACTTTTGA